TCCCCCTGCCCCAGCCCCTCCGAGGCCCCTCCGGCTGGCTGGGCCCTGCGGCTCGGGCCCTGCAGGGATGGCAGCTGGCCCTCGTCCCCTGTCCCACCCCAGGACGGGATCTGTGGGCTTGTGAGAGTGACTCAGAGCCAAAGGGGAACCGAGAGCTCTGTCATGGGGGACATCAGCTCCATCTCGGGAAGGGGCCGCTGCCCCGGGCACTGGACGGGGAGCCGTGCCCCCACAGATGGGCACACTCAGAGCCTCCTTGGGGACAGACCCCTTCCCTGCAGAGCTCGGCGAGGGACAGGCGTGTGCTGGGCTGGGGTGCATGGTCCCCTCCGCACGCCAGGACGCGGGGCCCAGCGGGGAGGGCAGCGCTTGTTTGTGTCCAACTCTGCCTGGCCGCCGGTTCCCACGGAGATGCCCACGTCGCCATGGCTACCCGCGGATATTCCTGCTCTGGCTGGTAAACAGCCTGCAAGCCGCCCGCTTCCGCCCCAAAATACTGGGGGTTGCTACACCCCAGGGAAATGTTGCAAGGGCAGGTCCCCCACCCCAGGCTGTGGGAATCGGCCCCATGCCCCAGCCCGGGGACCTGTGACCCCGCACAGCCCTGGTGAGCAGCCTGACCTCTCCAGGCAGGGGCTGGGGCCCCGGACAGCAGAGATTTAGGGGGAAAAACCTTTTGCTCAGACTGTCGGGGCTGCAAGGTGGCTGGCCACCTCCCTCCGGCCACCTCCCTCTGGCCGCGTCCCTCTGGCCAGCAGCCCGGCTCTGCAGAGGCGATGCTGAGAGCGCGTCTCCCCCAGGCTGCTTTCCCATGGCCTCGTGCCACCCTGCCTCTGGGCGCATCGGGGTGGGGGTCTGTGCTGGCCCCACCGTTGTTCGCAGCAGGGCGTTGCGTGAGCGCTGAGTAACGCGCCGCTGGAGGTGAAACGCGTGCTACAAATCCCGTAGTAAGCAGCTGTTTGCACAACAGCCACCTCCGTTGCGAAGGCTGCGAGTGCGTGGCGGGTTGCGCAATCCTCTGTTTACCCCCGCGGTCTGGTCCCGTCCCACGACGTCGGTCTGGCACGGGTGGGCAGAGCTGCCCGACATCCCAGCTGTGAGCTCCCCCGGGACGCTGGGCAGGGCCTTGGGCAAGGAGCTGCTGGAAAAACCCGGGTTAATGTTGGGCACAGGGAGGCACCAGTGGGAGGTTGGGTCTTGGGTTGCCCTTAGGGCGTCTCACGGGTCCCCTCGTGCTGGGGCGAGCTGGGCTCCACGGTGGGAGCAAGGACAACCCGGGACAGATGGGGCTTCGCAGGGCAGCTCTCCCCAGGGCTGGGCTTTCGGAGCCAAGCCAGGCTCAGCTGTGAGGGGCAGCGGGGCTGTCCCCAGGCTCTGGGGCTGGTGGGCACATCCCTGGAGAGGGCTGAAGCTCGGTGGGACGAGGATGCGGGGATGAGCCCAGTCCCCCGTGGTGAGTGCCTGGCCAGGACAGCAGAGCGGGCTGGGGGCTGCGAGCTGTGCCCAGGCAGCACCACCCTGCGCTGGCAGTCACGGCTGGGTTTGCCCCCTGCCCTCCGAGTCCCTCGCCCCCCAGCCCAGCCCCGTGGCCCCAGGGGAGTCGCAGCGAGGCACCAGCTGTGCCACATCCCGGCTGGTGGAGCGGGCAGGGTGGGGGGCCGGGCGCTGCTCCCCGCCGCTGGACGTGTGCGCGCTGCTGGGTTTTCCTTCCTGCGGCGAGCGAGGCGGTCGCAGCCTTCAGGGAAGTGTTTTGTAATCACCTTCTTCAGAGAGTCACAGCAATTAACGGCACTGGTTTTGAGGAACTAACGGTGAAAGCAGCATGTTAGCAAACGGGCTGAGCACGGCGAGCCGCCGGGAGCCGGAGGCCGGTGCTCGGAGCGGGCGGTGAGCGGCGGCCGCAGACACCGGGCGTGGAGGAGAGGTGGAGATGGAGGAGAGGTAGGAATGGAGGCGAGGTGAGGACGGGCTGCGTGATGCTCAGGTCCGGCTGAGCACCTTGTCTGTGGCTGCATGGGCTGCTCTGCCCTGTCCCCTGCTTGGGACAGCCGCGTGTGCTCAGCGGGGGCTGCTCCCCCATTTCCCACGCTCAAGTCCCTCGTCTGCCCCTGGACATCGGCTCGGGGGGGAGAGGAGCTGCGGGCACCCAGAGCCGGGGCGGCAGGGGCAGCCCTGCACGGCTGAGGCCACTGCTGGGACCAGCGTGGGGCAGAGGATGAGCCGTCGGCTGGGCAGAGCAGAGGCAGCCAGGGCTGGGGGTGCGGCGCAGGGTGGGGGGTGCAGGCAGGCCCCCGCAGCTCTGCCCAGCCCCGCGGTGCTGCCGTCCTTCACTCATTTCCCTCTTTCAGCTCATCAGCTCTGACACCCCAAACCCCAGCACTCACCCTCCCTGAAACCGCAAATCTCTGCCCGGCAGAGGCTGAAGATACCTGAGATAAAATCAGCCCGCGCCTGCGGCCAGGCGTCGCGCCCCAGGACCGGGGTGTGCAGGGGCCAAGAGCCGGTGACAGGCTGTGCCGGGGCCCCCCAGAACACCTCACCACTGTGCTTCACACCAGCGCCTGTGGCAGCACCCGGGGGCGGAGGTGTCATCGCCGCTGAAGGGCTGCGGGGGAGAGGCCACCTCTGACGGCAAAAGGACATTTTGCTCCGGGAAACGTCGGTGACGGTGGCAGGACAGCTCGTCCAGCCCCCTCCCGACCCGCCGGGACGAGCTGCCATCTCCGTTCTGTTCCAGGTGATGCCAAAGCCACAGAGCAGACCATGGCCAGGCGTGGTGCCGGGACCCCCTTCCTGCTGCGGCTCTCCCTGCTCCTGCTCCTCCGCCCGGGCGGTGAGTGGTGCCCACAGCCCGTCCCGCAGCCGCGTGTCCCACGCCAACCCCCAGCACCCAGCGCCCGGCCCGGCCAGGGCCACAACGGGTGAGCCCACGACCACCGAGGCGCAGCCCAGGGTCCCTGCAGGCAGGAAAACCACGTCACATCCTCAGTGCCCGGGCAGGACAGGGGGACGAGCCTCTCTTCCCTTAGACGGGCCCCCCAGCTGCTGGGGAGGAAGAGCCGGGCGTTGGGCAAGGCTGTGGCAGACGCCAGGCCCCATCCTGCCAGCGCCCGCCGTGCTGCTGGCACTCCTGCCCGCCGCGTGCCGTGGCC